TCCATTGCTTCCATCAGTGCCTGCTTGGCTGAAAAAGTGAAATAGCTAATCTACTGTGTTACAGTATATCAGATATATAATTGTATCTAGATACATTTAGTACTGTACTACTACTGTAAGGTAAATTGTAAAAGATTTACCCAGCTTGTCCCCTCGCTCCTTTGGCACCGGGATGCCCGGGTGGACCCTGAACCGCCGAGGGACACTAAAACATACTAAAGTGTTTTGATTTAAGTTTAAATATTGTTTAAATATTGTCTAAATTGTTTAAATATTGTTTAAATATTGTTTAACTAAATTTGAGTAATGTTTCAGGGGTAGGCTACTTTGCGCCAAATTTTTTGCGCAAGTAGGTCATTTGCGCAACTGGGTCGTTTGCGCAACTCGCCATAACTTTCTTCTAAGTGAGCCAATCTTTATGATTTTGGCTTCATTTTGTTGCACTTCTTGAGATCTACAAAATGGAACCAAAATTATAAAGATTGGCTGACTTAGAAGAAAGTTATGGCGAGTTGCGCAAACGACCCTGTTGCGCAAAAAATTTGGCGCAAAGTAGCCTACCCCATGTTTCAATTTCATTTTTGATATTCAATTCAATAATTTCAATACCTTTTGACATGAAAGATCATCGTTTTTTGGTGGCATCACGTACTTCCCGGATCGACCGTTTCTCCCATTTGATCCGATCATTCCCGGCTCTCCTAAAGTTTGAAATTGCAATATAAAATGATATTTTGATTATAAAAGTATGAAGTTCTTCAAATTTTAAATATACTTATTCAATTCTCAACGAACCATCCATTCCTGATTGTCCGGAGCCACCGGGAGGACCGGGTGGACCTTGTTGACAAGAGCAACCTAAATGTTTAATAGTAGTCTTCCTTAGAGAATGATTTCGAGACGTTTTAATGTTAAATTTGAATTTCTATCACAAATTTGATTTATGTTATTGTTAAATGTTAATTTTCGCACGACGTGGGGCTGGGACAAATGCTACCTTTTTTCGCGCACCTGGACATTTGCGCACCTTTTTTTTGCTGGAAAAGGCCTTAGGAAAGGTCCTAGAGCTTCAAAAATGTTTTCATAGAAGGGAATCGTATGCGTAGATTCCGAATTTCGACAAATCAGACCTCGCTGACACGTCAAATTTGGGCTAAAAGGCAAAAACTATGCAACTTAACGCTTTTCCGCAGTTTTTGCCTTTTAGCCCAAATTTGACGTGTCAGTGAGGTCTGATTTGTCGAAATTCGGAATCTACGCATAAGATTCCCTTATATGGAAATATTGTCGAAGCTCTAAGGCCTTTTCCAGCAAAAAAAAGGTCGCATTTGTCCCACCCCCCACGACGTCGCATTTCAATTGACGTCGCCGCCATTCGGAGGTAGTCGATGGAAGCGTCACGTCGTCGTTTCTTTTGATTTTCAAATCATTTGTTTTTTTGTTTTGATTTTTGTTAGATTATTGTTTTACGCGATAAATTTTGTGTTTCTCTTTTCTCTTTGAAATGAGAAAGAAATCTATTTCCAAATGAGCCGAGTGGAGAATCCGGGACTTTTCGTAGCCGGACCACAATGAAGGCCATATTGTAATTGTAAGATGGTTTGCGGAGTTGAATGGAAACAACGAAAGCAAGGTTCATCTTCTGGACCGTTGCAAAACTTGGTAAAACTTATAGAAATCTTATTTAAGAATGTTTTAGGGATCTATTTTGCTGTTTTTATTTCTATTGACTTACATTTTCCCCCATTTATAGTTCCCTTTGCCCCTTCATTCGCATAGTTTTGCCTCTTCATTCGAACCTCACCAGCCGCCACTTGTTTCCATAGATCGGAAGAATCCATCTAAAAGGTTAAAAATACAAGGTTTTTCTTCGACTTCTAAAGTGTAGTACTAATTACAATTGAAATCACTACAAATGCTTCGTCATACCGTTAATACTAATCCTTTTCTGTGACGCTAAATTGTTAAGCTATGGTGCGTAAAGATAGAAAATCTGTAGAATAGACACGACTTTTTGTAGAAAAAGAATCAGTTTCACATTTTAGCAAACAGCTCTTGGATGGATGGATTGGATTTTAGCAAACAGCTCTTGGAGCGTGGATACAATGCTATTTCAAGCTTTAGAAAATAAGAGCTGTTTGTTAAAACGTGTCGTTTTCTACAAAAGGCTCATGTATACTGTAGAACATTTTAGCTGTGGAAGACTTAAAAGTGCTCAAAAATAGCTTCAGACAAAAGCAAAAATAGGGGAAAAAAAAGTAGGTTCAAGCTTACCCTGCACTGCTGCACTTTGTCCAGCATAAACGTGTTAGCGCGTTGAATTTTCAACATTGTCAATGGCAGAACGGTGACCATCAAAAGGAGACATGTTGTTGAGAGAATTGTCGTCAATATGGTCACATTTCGAGAGGAGATCATACTGATCTAAATCTTTTGAAGGAATAACTAGGATTAGCTAAGATTAAGTGTACTAATCAAAAAGTATTCGGTTACGGTAGAGATACAATTAGCCAAAGTGCACAAAGAATTCGGCTATTAGAATTCGATTATTAGAGTTAGATTACTAGAATTCGACTATTAGAATTCGATTGTTAGAATTCGATTGCACTATTAGTCGAAAGACGTAAAGATATTCAGGCAAACTATACGATTGGTGCGAGAAAATGATCTCATTTGTGGTGGATGTGTCCTAGATCTTTCTCTTCCCGGGAGATTGGTTCTCTCGGATGGAAATGGTGTTATCATTTGGAGATACATTTTGAGTGATTTCAGGAATTCCAAGAATCGCCTGAAACGATGCTTAAAACAGGGAAATGCTGGGAAAATCTGAAAATTACCTGTAAACTGTAAGTTAGCTTCATACTGGTGTTTGTAACGGTTTGGGATCTGAAGGATTCCAGCGCATCTGGGATCTGGAGGATTCCAGCGCATCTGGAATCCTATTTGCAGACCATGCAACCATGCTTTACTATGATATTAAGATAAATTTTAGAATAGTACTGGCTGACTGTATGTTTTACGATATTCCTACGTTGTAAGTCATACGGTATTTGCGAAATCTTACGGTACTTTCCAGGTAAGTTTTGACAAGCCTTGCTCTAGTCGATCGTGCTGAGCCAGAGCCAGAGTTCCTTGGCATTGATTCCATTGTTCTCACACAGAGTGCTTCAAATTTCGATTTGGACACCAACTCTGGCTTGGCACTAGCCTGCCCCAACCCATTGGACAGTTTGAAACAGTCTCAGCCTCATCCAACAATCACGGATACTTTTCCTACCGTAAATACTCTAATAGAACGTCACCCCCTCGTACAGTCGCGTAGTCTAACTTCTTTTTAGAAAATCATTTTATCTCAGCTCCTAGAGTTTTCCCAACCATACTTTTGGTACCAAAAAATACTAGATTTCAAGGGCTATCATTTGCACCCAAGCGCATAGTGTAGCTTAAAGCAGCGCGAAGAACGGGACGTTCAAAGTTAGACTACGCGACTGTACACCCGTATGCAAATGGCGTTCTATTAGAGAATTTACGGTAACTAATTCTTCAAAAACTTCTGGACCCACTTCTTACAAAAATGCTCGCGCAAAGTCTCTCATTTCCCTCAAAATCTCTTCAATTTTACTTCAATTTTCAATATTTTCTATATTTTCTGTTTTCTTTTTTCCTAGTGTTTGGGAAAGAGAGCCTTTTCGTCGCGAGACCTATTTCTCTGCACAAAGCATCGGCGGCAGAAGACGAAAATTTGAAACCTTTACCTAGGTCAGTCTAGACTTCATTTGACATCATTTTCTTAATCTTTTCAAAATCTAAAGCTTGACTCTTATTACGATATCCTTTGCTTTTTGATTGTAGATTAGCTACTTCAAATCATTTTCATTTAAAAATTAGGACCAACTCCAATTGGTGCTCAAAATTTTTTTTGGAAAACCCGGCTCAACATTTGGGCTAAACTGACAAAAGTTCACTCATCATTGGCTCTTTTAGTCTAATTGATATGTTTCCAAAGTTTTCCATCTATTCTATCATTTTTTAAAACACAAAACAATGTTTTCTTTCCGCCATGTGAGGCATAAATTTTTAGAAAACGTTTCTGGTTCATACACTTTTCGAGAGAAGAGCCGCAACGCGCCCAAACATTAACGGGCAAAACGGGGTCTCTCTCTGCGTTCTTTCCCCCCGTTCAATCAAAGAAACATGAAAATGTTTTTTTTTTCATATAGTTTCCCCAATTCTTTATCAATATTCAGCTTTCCGCTGAACGGTTTAATGGATTTAGCCAGCGTAAGCGGTTACGGAAGTGCTTGCTTTTCTTCAGTTTATTCAAAATCTTGATCTGAGCTTTCTGAAATCAAGATTTTTCGCTGAAACGCGAGTTTCTTTTCTTTCTTGCTTTTAGGGGTAGGCTAGTTTCCGCGACTTTTTTTGCGCAACAGGGTTATTTGCGCAACTCGCCATAACTTTCTTCTAAGTGAGCCAATCTTTATAATTTTGGTTTCATTTTGTAGATCTCAATAAGTGCAACAAAATAACACCAAAAGCATAAAGATTGACCGACTTAGAAGAAAGTTATGGTGAGTTGCGCAAACGACCCAGTTGCGCAAATGACCGTTGCGCAAAAAAAATTGCGGAAACTAGCCTACCCCTGCTTTTATGCTCATAGCTTTTTGCTTTTGTTGCTTTTCTTGCTTCAATTTTCGAAAGCAATGGCCCAAAGAAGTTGGGAGCAGGGATTTTAAGTTCTACTTATGAAAACCAATTCAAACTTTTTTGTACTGTAACACTTGGTATTGTTGTGATTTAACAAGTAAAATGAATACAAATATTGTTACAATTGATTTGGCAGTGTTTTGTGAATTCTATTTGTTACTATTGTCGGATATTGTAGCAGGTATAAAATGGACTCTTTCACGAATCTCATTCTTCCGCTTTTTCAAATTTCTAAAAGTTTTTCACTTTCACAAAATGGTAAGCAAGTAAGCCAAATGATCCCAAGATGCTAACTTCAACTTTAGGAAAGTTTAAATTACCGCATAACATGATGTTTAAGAAGCGAATCATCGATCAACGACAAAGATTTAATCAAGCGTAATTAAAATTTCTAAAAATTCATCTTTCCCGCTTTCTTCAATCTATCGTTGCAGCCAAAAGATGGATATTCGATTTCATTGGGTCTCTTTTCCTTTCCGAGGCTGCCTCTCTTCGCAAAAACCCCCTTTGTAGTTTGTTCTCTCCCGCACAAATCCCCCTTTCCTCAATATTTTGTCTGCAATGAATTTTAAGTTTAGTTTTCGATTTTCATTTGAATATTTTTGCACAGTTAACGTTGAAATTTCAGCCAACTTCATGCTGAAACGTTGCGGTGAACGGGATGATTCGAATGGCGAGGAGTGTCCGGCGAAACGACGGGAATTTGAGCCGACGCTGAATGGACACCGGATCGCGCCCAGCGTTAGCGGAATCAACTTTCGAGTCCTCCCAATCCTGCCAGCTGAATTGACGACCTTTGAGGTGCCGCTCGTGCAATTCTACGTCGTCCACGTGCTTCAATTGCAAACGATTGGCCAGTTGATCAAAACGCTACCCGACATTCCCGACGAGTTTCGCCATTTGAAAAGGATCAAAAAGGGGATGATGCTCGTGTGCCCCGTTCATTGTGAATCGCTATTCGAAGAAGCGAAAAAAAAACTCTTGGGACTGAACTTGCCATTGGAGTTTCAAATCGTTGAGGTGCCCGCGAAGAAGCCGTTGACCGAGAGGCAGTTTGAATTTGCGAAGGAAAAATGGCCGACCTCGTTCCATTCGATGCCCGAGATAGAGAAGGTGCTTGCGGATCAACCATTTGATGGGGATGAGTCACGAATAATTTTGGCGAATATGTCAAAAGTTCCATCCAATGGTTGTCTAATTGCAGACGGAGAGCGGAGCCTCGCGGAATCAACACATGGAACTATGCTTTTGGAGCATGCGGCACTTGAAGCTATTAGAAATTTAGCGAAATATCAACAGTCGGAAGCTTACAGTGTTGAAGAGAATCGATTCGCTTATCTCGCCACAGGTTGTGATGTGTTTTTGGAACAAGAACCTTGCGCGATGTGCGCTATGGGTTTGGTTCATGCTCGAGCTAAACGTGTCTTCTTTCGGAATCGCTCCTCAAATGGCGTATTGGCTTCGGGAAATTGGCATCTACATCTGGAACCAGCAATTAATCATCATTATCAAGTTTTTGAGGTGAAGATCGACAATTTTGACGTAAACGCGAACGCTTCACGACACTGTGGAGGGATTTTATAGGACTAGGGTTTCTCTCGTGGTTTGTTTGTTTACAGATTTGATGCATTTATAAATTTGCTGTATGTTGAACATTTTGCTCGCCTGTGATCTAGTTTTTGCATTTAAAGAGACTTAATTTTGCTAGAATTTTCAAATTATCTGTTGCCTTGATCTTTCACTCTTGTCATTGTTTTTTGGGTTGTTATTTTTTGAAAGATTATATTGTTAGATTTTTTAAGATGCCTCTCTACAACAAGCGTCCATGGGAAAAGATTTCGCCACCAAAGGGATTGGCACCCGACATCAAAGTCTACTACTGCGAGGCCACAGATGAAATCTTCACATCATATGAGTAAGTTAAAGGCTTTTAATCAGAAAATAATGGTGAAATTAGTAAGGGTTAGATTGATTAAATAAATCTTTTGTCTAGTGAATTCTTCGACCGCTTGATGGAGTTGAATTCAACGGTGTGGTCATGCGAGTACACCAACAAGTCAAATCTCACATTTTTCGAGGCGCTCGAGTCGGAACAAGATGCTATGGTTGGTTTTTATTGATCGGAGATTGTAAATTAATTTTAGAAACAACTCGGCCAGTTCCCACAATACCTCGAGATTCCAATTTTGTGGCTTGTCCAGGAGCTGACTTGCAGGGGCCGATTTGAAGATCTTCTCAACGATGTGTACAATTTTTTGAAAGACAGGTTAGTTAAATGAAAATAGGCTTTTAATAACATTCTTTTAGATATTTTATCGGTGAAGAGGTGACATTGAGTGAAGGAAAGAAGCCGGCTACTGTTATTGGCATCACCGTGGATACAAACAATTACAAGGAGCCCGCTGAGTAAGTTCTGATTTTTGGCATTAAGTGAAATGGTTTTTTGACTTAGTTAACTATTATGCGCATTAATTGCATAATATTTGGGCCCTCAGAGTTATTTAAGTCGTGCAATATTCTAATCATCATTCCCAAAGTTTAGAAAGCTAAAGGACATGCACGCGCCGTCTCCAGAAGCCTACAGTTACACCCTTCGGATACATGGAGTAGAGGGAGAAAATCGAGAGAAAACTGGAGTTCAATACATGAATATATAGTAATTTTTAGTAGCTTTTGCCAAAAATTATATTTATTATTTTAGCCGCAACAAACGGGTGCTGGGTCGACAAAACTTGAAGCTCTTCTTGAAGAATAAATGCTCTGTGCGAAATCAAGAAGGAGAGCGATATGTTGTTTTGGTAAGTGATTTATTTAAAAGGAATCGCTGAACTTAAACATTTGTTTTAGGATAAATACTTGAACCGGCACGGCATATCTGAGCGCAAGTGGGCAGATTTGTTTGCTGGACCGTTGCCCGTTTTTCCAAAAACAACAGTTCTTCTTCGTGGACGCGCATCGCTGAAGAAAGATGAAGCACATGCCGACGACGATGCCAGTGAAAAGGGTGATAAACCGGTTGGTGATCAGACGTATTCTCTTTACTGATATGGGATCCTTAGGAGAAATCAAAAACTCCAAAAGCCTCAAGACATTCGAAGAAGACACCAAAGGCTGAGAAGTCTGAACAAAGCAGCCCCTCAAAGAAACCGTTGTCAGAGAAGAAAAAGGTTCAGGTATGCATTTAATTTTCAATTTGGATACTAGTTACGCTTAGATTAAGCAACAACAAGCCGAGCTACACATCACATTTGAGAAAGCCAAACGAGCGGGAGTTGAAAATTTGGAGAAGTTTGAACTTTTTATTGAGTATAATTTCCAATTCATTATAGATGGCAACAAACCGAGAAGTTCCTTTCGAAGAGGAATATTGACGAGTTGAACGAGGCGATCAAGGAAGCACGGAAACGGGTATGTTGATGTATTCCTTTTAAACTTGGGAATAGGGATATGTAGACTAAAACTTAACTCTTTATGAATCCTATTTAGGAGCAAGAGAAACACCGCAAGAAGAAGGAGGCACTACAGAGCTGGGCCCGCAAACGAGACGATCTTGAGTGTGATGATTTGAAGGTAAACAAATTTGTCAAAATTTCTCAATGAAAACTTTAGCCAATGCCTAATTTGCCCCAAATCCCACTTCCGGAATGGCTCTCCGATAAGATGTTTGGAAAAATGCTTGACGTACTCCAGTTCTTTGCCTCGTTTGCCGAATTCTTGCCAATCAAGGAGAAGAAAAGCACAACACGAGTCACTCTTTCGGATGTGGTGGTTGCTTTGCGGTAAGTGTGAAATATCTTTTGTTTTTACAATTTTTTTTACAGATGTCGAGATCCACGAAACTCTACATTCTCAATTCTGATGGAAATTTTACTGAAGGCACGTGCTGAGATTTGCGACGAAGAAGAAGGAGATGAAGGTAGCACTTTGAAGCAATAAATTGATCAATTTGAGTACTTAGTGGATTTTTCACGAAGGGATGAGGTGGTGATGGAGATGAATCCCGATTATGAGCATCCTGAGCACGGTGCCGAGTTGAAAACGATGACCCGTTTGCACGAGGAAATACGATACACTCTTGGTAAGAAGCTTTTATGGAAATACAGTGTGTTACAACAAAAAAAGTCAGCTCAGCGCGATTTTTCTCAGAATTTCTAGTGGCTCCTGGTGGTTATTGTGGTGCCACAGTGAATATTTTGGGCGGACAAATTTTTGATATTTTGTCACTTTTTCTCGATTTCGTCACGTCATGCATCAAATTTCTGAGCCACCATGGTCACCACCACCATGAGATTTTTGCCATAAAATTAAAACTTTGTACTGGCATTGTGGCGCATAATAAACATTATTAGGATAACTACAAATTTAAGCCATACACTTTATTGATCAGCGTTTCCTTGGAAAAACGGGACACTTCATCAAAGGGCGAATTGAAAATCTCTTATGTACGACAGATTATCATATAATGTAGATGAACAAAGTGTTTGGCTAAAAATCTTAGTTTATTTATTAACTCTAATATGACACCACAATGCCAATCCAAAGTTTTAATCTTATGGCAAAAATCTCATGGTGATGGTGACCATGGTTGCTGAGAAATTTCATGTATGGGAAAGTCACGAAATCGAGAAAAAGTGACAAAATATCAAAAATTTACCCGCCCAAAATATCCACTTTGGCACCACAATAACCACCAGGAGCCACTAGAAATTCTGAGAAAAATCGCGCTGAGCTGACTTTTTTTGTTGGAACACCCTGTATTTTAGTTGGAAAGCTAATAACTGATTTTGTACAGGCTCTTCTGTTCGCAATTTGTACACTGATTGGTTGTCGATAACGGAAGTGCTGCGACTGCTATTCTTGACGAGCGGCTATGTGACGCGCTCCGGGAAACATAGACATAGGTTACCTCAATCAATTCGTTGATTAAATGATTTTTCTTATAGGCTCTTTCAACGAGGATCGATCCGCTTTTATGAAGACCCGGCCTACATGTACCGAATAGAACATCCAGATGTGATAAGGAAACTTGAAGTGGTAAGTGACTCAGATAAATTACAATTGCAAACTAAATTACATTTACAAATTATATGGCTGTTGTTTTAGAGTACCGTGTTTGATTTGGAGCCCGAGGAGAGATTGGATCTACTTCATGTCATCATTCAACAACTTTTGACTTACGCGAAGATTAGGTGAACTAAATTTCACTGTAATCTTATTAAATCTTTTTCAGAAACCATGCCACTGAACGCGTTGAGGAGATTTGCACCCAACGAATCGAGCTGAGGAAGTTGAAGAACTGGGACACTAAGCAAGAAGCGGTTTGTATACAGCTAGTGTTTTATTTCAAATTCTATTTAGGAAGCAAAAGATGCTCGCTTGTTGAGAGAAATGGAGGCTGAGGGTAACGAAGTGAACATTCCGAAGACTTCAAAAGACTCGATGAAACTGAAAGCAATGCTCAAAGCAGCACAAGAGGGACGAAGACACGACAAAGAAGAATTGCGCAAAGTGGGCTATATACTTTACTTGATTTGAACGTGCGTGGTTTACACAATTTTGTAAAATTGATTTAGATTCTACTAGCTGGCATTGCATGGCTCGAATTTGATCTTGGTGAAATTTGCTTCGCGAGAGAGCTCCAGAAAACACTTGTGCAAGAAGCGATTGAGGATATGCGAGCCGACATCTTTGAAGTTTCAAGTAAGCGTCAAGTTACTTGGCTTCTTTACACAGTGTTTAGGTCTGTTCGGCCCGTGCTCTCTTGGAAGAGATCGTGCTTTTAGAAATTACTTTGTTTGTGATCAGGTAATTTGGTGCACAATGCTTATTACAATACGTATTTAGATACCGATCTTGTTGGTTGAGAATCCTGGTAGAGGAGATCGAATTGGCAGCTGTCAAGCAGAAGCAACTCCGTGCAAAAATATGGTTTGTATTCTGGATTAAATTAGCTTTGGGTACTGTGCGCATTTGACGGAAAATTTTTAGGGCGAGCATTTGGCAGAAGACGATTGGCGTCAAGAGGTCTTTGCTTGTACGGCAAAAATGGAAAATTGTCCAGTCCATGGATTGAAAGCCCAACAACGACCAAAATGGACCTATGTTCAATCACTGGAGCAATTGGAAGAAGTAACTAAAGTTTGCAAAACAATGTTAATCATACTGCTTTAGGTGTTGAGTGCTTGCAATCCTCGTGGTTTTCGAGAAATTGCTTTGGTCGAAGAGATCAACTACTTGAAGCCTCAATTGCATGAACTGGTTGAGAAAACGGTTTGTTTAAGCGCTTCTTCCACATTTAATCAACTTTTAGAACAATAAGGCTAATAACGGACAACTTTCTCAATCTTTTATGGAAATGGCAGAGGATCCAGCAAAACAAGAAAACTCGATTAAATGGCTCGATGTGGTGATCGATATGATTTTGGAGCTGGAAGAAAAGGTAAATTTGGTTTTAAGTTGTAGGGAAACATCTCTTATTTCAGATGACAGAAGGCTTTCTTGGTCGACTCCCCAGCTACATCAACAGAGAGGAGTGGCGAAAAAGTCTTGACGAAACCGGCGACATCACATCGATGCTACAAGGTTTGAATTTATAATTGGCATACCAAAACACCATTTAGATGACGTTGTTTGTGAAATCAAGGAACGAGAAGTGCTTCACTCAAGAGAAAACTTTGAATCGTTGACTGATATTCAAAAGTAAAATTTTCAAACTTTGTTTGGATCTAATGTCATTATAGGGTTGGAATCGCTTTTCTGCAAGTCGTCCAAGCGATCAATGCCAAATACATTAAGAAGCCGTTCACAAGGATAGCTCGTGAGTTTTCTGTTGAAGGAGTGATGAAGTCAAACCCGGGAAACTTCAAGGGAGATGAAATGTAAAAATTATTCTTTTAGCGGGCAGCGTCATCGAGCCCACTTGGACATTGATTCACTGGATGCGCTCTGTTGTTGACTGCAAATCGGTGCCTTCTCTAGCTCTTCACCTCTTCTCAATCGAGTCAGCCATTCAATGGGAAAAAAGTAAATTGCTGGTGAGTGGTTGGCGGCGTTATTTTGCATTTAATACATTTTAGGCAAAGTGTCGCGTTTGTAGAAAGAAGGGAACACCGGAGGACCTTGTCGTTTGCTTTGAGTGTGATAAGTAGGTTTTGGTAGATGGATCATGTTCATGTCAATAACGCTTAGATGTTACCATTTGGACTGTGCTCGACCAAGGCTGAAAGAAGTTGTCAATCCCTATTCGTGCCAAGATTGCCGAGTTGAAGAAGAGGTGCAACCCGAAGAAAATTCTGCTGAGAAAAACAAAACAAATGGGCATGGTGAGTTTAAAAATCACCGTAATAAGCAAATACTCAATGTTTAGCTAACGGTCACGTAAGCGATGATGAAATGGATGGGAATGACGAGAATGAAGCAAGTCAATCGTCAAACGAAAACAGGTGTGTGGTCATATTTAACAGGAGTTACCTTGGCTTTCAGTTTGTCGGTGGTGCGTACTTCGTCAGGCAGAAAAGTCAAACGAGCAGAGTACAACATCGAGCGGTTATCATCATTGGCACCACCAAAGAAAAAGTTTGTAGGCTAACTTTATTAGCTACATGTTTTTAGGATTGCTCGGCAGGATAGTAACGCGGACTCAAGTGTAACAAATGGGTCGGGCAATCAGGAAGACGATTCGATGAAGGGAGATGATGAGGTGCTAGTGTTCATTGTAATAACTTACCTGCTCTAACTTTTAGACTGAAGACTCCCAGAGTGCTGATGAGGATACCTGTTCGGAGTCGGATTATGACGGGAGAAGAAAAAGCAAACGCCAGGTGGCTGCTCAGCGTCGAAGTACAAAGAATACAAGTGGTAGAGTTCACATTTTATGGTGTTTAAATTATTTTTGTTTAGTGAATGATAGCTCAATGATGTCGAACAGATCGTTTGGCCTGGGGTTGAGGGACTCGGATCCAAATTTGAAGGTATTTGACCTAGAACCTTGATTGAGCAGTACCAATTCTAGGAGAAGATCAAGAAGCTGGAGGATGTGATCCGGTTGGCGATGAGGGAAGAGTATGCTTGGCCGTTCCTTGAGCCAGTTGATCCAAAAGAGGTATTTAATTCGAACAGTTAAGGAGCTTCCAAAGCATAGGCAAAACATGATCGATTGATCATTGAGTTTACATGTGGTGCTTTTCAGGTTCCCGATTATCGTGATGTGATCAAGAAACCAATGGATCTTCGAACAATCATCAACAAGCTAAAAAATCACGACTACGACTCGGCTGAGCAGGTTAGAAATTTTGCTAGATGATCCTTTATTAATCAACTTTAGATCAAAGATGATGCTCTCTTGGTCGTCATGAATTGCAAGAAGTATAATTTGGAGGACAGTGAGATTTATGATGTAAGTCTTTCGGGTTATTTTGTCTGTAAATGAACTTTTAGTGTGCTGTGCAACTAGAGGAATTCTGGGGCAAGCACCTTCAACCGATCTTCCACGACAATTCCGGCCGACGGCGTTCTTGTAGGAGTCGACTTTGAAAAGTGATTAATTTGTTTGATGGGTTCACTTATTTTGTTATTAGCATTGATTTGGTGTCATTTGGTTTTATATTTTTTGAGTTGGTTCAGAAGCCAAAGTATTTTTGATAGGTGGAAGGATTCTAGAAACTTTTGCTTCTGAAACAGCCGCTGTTTTTTCCTCAGCACAATACTCCCAGATCCAGTCAGCGATTCTGTTCGAGCTTTACAACTTTAGGAATCTTACACTAAATGCTTTTAAACAGTTTTATCTTGTTAAATAACCATATTATCGCTTTTCTTTTGTTTGTCAATGAACTTTGCTATATCTATTTCTCTTGGTCATCATCTCCTTCGTACGACCCTAAATTCTATATTTATCTTGTGTCTTTAGGGGTATTTTTATTTTTCTTGATTGTCTATCTTTATTATGTGCAGTGAAAGCTGGTGTCTATCATGATCTGCTAAAGAACCGTGTTTTTTTTCTAACTGTTTCCACTTGTAGGTGTATTTGGAATAAACATTGAAATCAAAAATGATTTGTAAGGCAAAGCAATGGGTTGGGAAACGCTTATGATAGATACTTTGGCCAAATGGGAGGGTTACGCGTAAATTGAATCGTGATTCGTTTTACAGGATCGATTTTGATTACCGTATTTCACACCGTAAATGTTTCGTCTAGGGCGATTGATTGCGACAGCGAGCACATCGATCACACTACCGAGGATAACATCGACGTTAAGAGTGCGTATTTTGGGGTAAATAGTGCGTAAAAATAGTTGATACCGATTTTGCATCATCGTCTTGAAGATTTCAAGACGGTAATTCTATTTGCTTTTTCAGCTCCGCTTCCGATTAAACACCATCAACGATTCAACGTCACTCCGATGCTCGGCGAGAAGTCTATCATCGAATGCTCCGAAAAAAGATCGACTCGTACATTTCGTGTGCGATGATCAAACGTTCACCGGAAAAGCAAAGGTCTGAAAATTCTTTTTGAAAACACAATTTTCTCATTTTTAGCTCGGGGATTCGTTACTAGATGTTATAGTCGATAACGATCTTCCACTTGACGGATATGGAGCTTGCGAAGGGTTTGGTTTCATAACTTTAAACTTAAACATTTGTTTAGAACTCTCGCTTGTTGTACATGCCACGTCATATTGAGTAAAGAACATTTCGACAGAGTTGATAAGGTTCATCTTTTCGTTGATTACCGATTTACGGTCGCTAATGTACAATCACGAATTTTTAGACAAACCCGGCCGGCGAAGAGGAACTGGATATGCTCGATTTGGCGCCTGAATTGAGCGATTATTCACGATTGGGATGTCAAATACGAGTCGAGAAAGAGGATGGTGGGTTTAGATATATGTAGTTTAAGGTGTTAGATGCGTGAGATTTAGCTGGATGATTAGTATTAGAACATATTAAATTGAGTTTTGTGGTAGATATCTTACTCATTATAAGGGAGAGAGTATATGTGTGTCTGTTCCGCTGTTTTAGAAAAAACGGCCAAACCAATCGGTCTGAAAATTTGACTATTATATCCAAAATTTTATCTAGTTTCCACATTTGATTAAAAGGGACAGCTTTAGCCGTAGGCCAGTTTTAAAGGCTGTTGTTTATAACAACGCTCAAACTTTATTCTTTCAGGGCCCGAGATCACCGTCACCGTTCCAACTGTGCGCCGAGATGCTCGACAAGATTAGATAATAAAACCAACAAATTTAATGATAGTTATTGTGTTTTTGAGTTTTAGAGTTCACGTTCTTTGTTGTGATTAGGTTTTCATTTTAGCTCAATTGTATTTCGAATGTTCAATTTGATTTGCCTTGTTCTACAAATTCTGTGATACGTCGATAAAATACGCTAAAATTTTCACCAGTCAAGCCATACATCGGTATCTCTAACTAGGGAGGAGGCATCAACTTAAGGTGGAGTTTAATGGCACCCTGGTAGAGTTTGACACGGGGAATTTGACTCCGTTTTTAGTTTTTTCTGCGGACTTCTCAATCGCCAGATATTTGGCATCAAAGTTTTTGTATTGGAATTTAGGGTGCTCTCTAGCGAGCGCAAATGCTCCATCAGTGGTGTGGAGCTAGCGCAGAGGATTCATAGGCAGATGATCATGGTTCGGATTTACAAAAAAATTACGCCGGCATCATTGTTCTTTTGCTCGAACGCTCGAACATGAATGATTTGCAGCGAATCGTCGGCGCGGTGAAATGGCTTTTCTCCGATGCCCTCGATGTGAAGAATATTTTTGCTTTTCATACTTTTTCCACTTTATGGATAAATGCTGATTTTTTTGTGCCTTGTGTATTGTGTTGAAAATTGAGTCTTTAAAAAGAGTAAGGTTACAATTTTTGAACAAGTACCTAAATTACTTTAGCTACATTTTATACTATGTACAGATCTTTTAGAAAAAAAAGCGAAATGCCGCGATAGCCGGATTTGGACCATGATTGTCCAAAAAAAAAAACGGGATTCGGATTTCCCCGGGTCAAACTCTATCAGGGTGCCATTCTACAGGCTTAAACTCCACCTCTCCCTGGTAGGAGACATCGATTGTTATAAGTGTATCAAGGAGGTTCATTGCCTAGAAGAAGGACTTGTTTCAATGTTAGGCAATCTACGATTTTTATATGTTTTACAGTAGTCAGAAGTGCATTTTACATTAATATAATACACTTTATTTCAGCACAGCAATTTCTTGTCGTTAAAAAAGTACATACAAATAAAATTCGAACTCTTGAGAGAAAGCAGAGGATCATGCGAGTTGGTAAAGTTCTCAAAATAAATAGAAAAATACAAATAAATTCACAAAAATGACGCCTAAAGTCACTAAAAATCCGTTGATCAAAAGTAAAACGACAAAACAAAATGTAAAACTAATTTAGTGATTTATTGAGGTACTCCAAACCAACAAATTTCGGACCGTCTTGTTAAGCGCATTAATCCATTCAACAAGCATTTCTTTGTGATCGGCCGCCATCAATACTCTAAACAATTTAATTATTCTTCGCCAATGTAATTAAAAGTATTCACCGCAGTTTTTCCATTTCTCGATTTGTGCCTTCTTTTGGTACCCAAACGTCGATGTGAAAAGAATGGGGGAAATTTCCATGTGGCTCAACGATAGCTCCGTCTTTCGTACAAGTCGACAAATCGATTGAGACAGCCCAATCCTAAAGTAAACATGCCTAGTTGGATCATATGTAGATGATCAAATACCTTGGTGTTTTCATCTTCGGGGCTACGCCAAAACTTCATTTCACCCTTCTCTAGAACGCACCAATATCTGAAAAAAATATCCATTATAAACGTTAACTTTAAAACTGCCAACCGAGTCCAAGAAGCTAATCCTTGCGTCTTCTGATAGAGTGAAAGGAATCCGCGATGAGGAACTCCGGCTTTGCCAGTGGCGGACCTAAAGTTCATTCATTTGTAGAAATTTTTGAAACAAATAAAACTAACTTTTTAATTTTCATGTGTACTTCTCCCGATAGAGGGTGTTGTGGCTCGATCAAGTGGAATTTGCGTCGATCCGTTCCATTTATGTGAAGATTGAGTCGACCAACTAAAGAACAGATGAATAGACGGAAATTTATTTAGATCCACCCAATTGAAAGCCCGAATCAAGGATTGGGTTGTGGTGCGACGAATTTTTCTGTGTTTTCATGGTGAAGCCAGATTGGATACTCTTCAACGTTCCTCCTTTGATACGATATTTCTCTTCATGCGACATGCCTTCTTTTTTTGATCTCTAAAATAGGCTTTGAATTGAAACAAAAAAAATGTTCTAATTTTGCTATCTGTTTAATCAAATACAAGCTTACCAAGGCATACACTTCAAAGATGCAGTTAAAATCCGGATGAATTTTCTCGATTTGGAAATATTTTTTCAATTCGATTGATCCATCCTGAAATGATTTAAGATACTAAATGAAAGCTTCGCTTACATCATTAATCTTGTTTTCGTTTGAATTCAATGCCGTGTGAAGCAAAGTGGTCTCGCATTTGATAAGGATTACGAAATAGTAGACGACATCGATATCTAAGTCCATGTTTAATGCGGCAAATTAAAATCATTTACCTCCAAAATGATCTCTTAAGCCCTTCAAGAAATCACGCGACAAAAACAGTTTAATTTGCGAAATTTGAAGAGCGCCTCGAGGAGCGTCAATGTCTTGCGATCTCAGTTGGTCAATACGCTCCATTTCCGTGATAAGAACATTTTGGGTTTCCTTGGCAATAAGCAGTGCTCGTTGGGCATCAACCTCCTCACGACTTCCTGAGAATTTTCCTGATTGGCGGCAAAACATCAAAGCTCGGGAAGCTTGCTCAACCCGTTCCCCTTCAACGGCGATTGCTTGCCGAATGCGAGCCTAAAATCTTACTTTAAAAAATTTGAAGAGTTCTTTTACCGTAGTGTCAACTCTTTTCTCTCTGTCATGATGTGACTCGGCTTGAATAACCTAAATAAAAATGATTGCCAAGATTTCCAAAAGAAAAAGCACTTTTTGTTGCGAGGTCGGCGTTTGCACTCCTGCAAAAACAATTTTTTCGATTTTGTCATCCTTTGCCGAGCGTTGTTTCCGATAAAAAGAGATTGAATGAGCCTAAATATTTTGGAATTTTAAACTATTGTTTAGAAACTACCAAAGCAGGATCGCTGTTTGAAGCGTGAATTGTGTCGGAGTTGAGTGGCTGCAAGTTTGTTGACGTGAATGGCGGTGTGTAGGGCTAAAAAGTGAATCTACATAGAAGATTTGAACTACTACCGTAGTAAAGAGAGGCTTCTCGGGCGATTCATTAACGCTCATTTCGTGCGTGGCTAAAGGAGCCAAATTGGTTGCTTGAGTTGGGGTCCCGTGATAATCCTGGCGCAGTGAAACGCGGGAATGCTTTTGTGGGCTGTTGATGAATTCGAAAGCCTGCATAGTTATAAATGGAAAGGAAAACAGGGTTACTCTACCGCATCAATTGCTTGAATTCCATCCACAGTCTCATTGGTCTCATGTTGAAAGTACGAGTCATCAAAGTCGCCCTCTTCAATCACCTCCCCATCTTGGTTTGGCCCATCCTCAGGATGTTCCTTTAATTTTAATTTAAAGATGTAAATAGCATTGAACACTAAAGATGATGGTCTACCTAGGTTCTCCGAAAATGATCACCTGTTCGAGAGTTGGTTCTTGGCTTTCCTCCTCATCCTCTTCACTGTCATTATTGCAGGGTATCTTATTCGGCGTGCTCCGCATGTCGTCAATGCTCTTACGCGTAGATGGATAAGAGGCCGTGTTAAGGAAAGGCAACTAAATGAGTTATTCAAACATGTGCCACACAAAACCTATCGAAAAAAAACCTTTTTCACAGTTTTCTTGATTGGAATTGCCGTCTCAGCCATGTGTCGCGCTGTATTCAAAAGCTCGTCTTCGGTGGCATCTGGATGAAGGGGTGTACCGGTTGCGGAAGAAAACTAAACAAAAGAATGACTTTTCAATACAAAATACTAACCTCCCATCGAGAACGCAAATTCTTTATGTTAGCTGTAGGAGGAACAGGTGGTTTAGCGGGTTCTTTAGGATCGGCGCCTTGAACAATCGGCGTTCCAGCGGAGCCACGCCAAAGTGTGTGAAAAGTGGGCAAACGCGGCTTTACCTAACACAAAATTTGCTTAAAAACAAATAAAATCAACCTCGGCCATCACTGTTGATTTGGAGATTGGTTTTGAGGAAGTCGAATTACTCAAATAAGCGGGCATTGAAGAGATAGCTCCAGTTTGCAAATAAGAGCCATGTTGGGTCTAAAGAACATCAATAAATCTACATGAGAAATTTGTTGAAAACATACAATCTCCCCTTGATTCTTTGCAAGGCCAGCACTGTGTTGGCTTGTTTCCAGATGACGAATAGGAGAAATCTCTGAGGTTGGTCCATGTAGTCGGCTCTAAAATTAAAAAAAATTTTATCAGCAAAGTTTTCCTTACATTGTTTCTCACAAAAGTACTCTGCACATACAAATTTTCATTAATTGGAGAACTGGTCGACTTTGGATCCTAAAACTTATTTCGCAACTTTAAAAACAATAATACTCACAAATCTAATAGGCGAAGAGTAGAGTAACTCATTTTCTTTCTTGTGCAGAGAAGAAGCTGATCCATGTTGCACAACCTTCTAAAAGAACCTCGTTACTGATTGAATTGTGTAAGTTGAACCTTTGTTAAAAACGTGTGGATTCCATATTCAGTTGATGTTGTCTCACCGATTGTTTCTTCATTGGTTGCAAGTGTTGTCTAAAAAAGTTAAACTCAACAAAAGTTTCAAGTTTTAAACTTACATTATTGAAAGGAGTTTCCTTGATCGTGACCCTTTTTTCACTGCTACCTTGAACATTGACTTCACCTTAATAAATAATTTTCCTAAGCTTAAAATGTAATGAAAAGAAACGATGACTTTTATCGAATACGATACGAATACTAACTCGAGTTTTTCAGTGGAAGATAATTGAACTTTGGCTTGCATAGCTCGATCGGGACAGGGGATTTCTCGACACCGACTCGCAAGGGACCCTTTCTGTCTTCTTTTCCAGTTGGGCGAGAGGGCTCGTAAACAAATTCATCATCAGCCGCTGCCAATGCCGCAAACTTGATTCTCTAAAAAAATCGAAATTTTTAAAAAAGCCAGTTCTTACGAAGTCTCCCGATGATGCATCTGGCTGACTCTCAGAAAGCACTTTTCTCGGTGATGTTTCAGATGGTGTTTTTGGCAAACCTAGAATAGATTTTATAAAGTAGAAACACGATCGGGTACTAATAAAGTTAGGGGAGGGCACTTTTTTCTTCAAAATCACTTTTTCTGGGGTAGTTTTATGCGTAGATTCCGAAAAAACACAACGAGAACTTGTGGAAAGGCCTTTTAAGCGAAGCTTTGGCGCTCCAAAATGCGCGCTTCTATAGTGTATTTCACTATATGGAGCCGACTATTGCGGCACTTTTCAAGGTCAGAACTAGAGCCAAAAACCATTTTTAACCACTAAATATTGGAGGTAAAGGCAAAACACTGAAAAATATTTTTTGAGCTTTTGACTCATGTGGCGGAGCACATGGTCGAAACTTGGGGAAAAATATTTTTTATTTTGCTCCAATTTGTTCAGAAATGTAATCAGTAGGGTAAATTATGCCAGAAGTGTTTTTGGCCTCAAAAAATGTTTTGAGAGATCATTTTTAGACCTCTTCCCTATGTGTATTTCTCTAATCACACTGAATGAGCGCACACTTTGAAGTTTCAAAAATCGGCTTAAAACCCCTTTTCTCAAGCTCTCGTTGTGTTTTTCGGAATCTATGCATAAAACTACCCTAGAAAAAGTGGTTTTGAAGAAAAAAAGTGCTTCCCCTTAACTTTATTAGTACTCACTGTCGTTTCTGTGACCGAGCTTACAATTAGTATGACCGAAAAGTTGTCAAAACACTCACTTTGCATGAACGATCCTTCCGAGTTCTCCTTTTCCAACTCAAAGCGGCGCGAATTTGCCATGTCCAATATTTTCTAAAGACCACCTTTAACCAAAAGACTAAAGTTAATGTTTACCTTTGTTCGATCGTCGAAGTTCTCCATTGCTCGCTCGTCGAAGCTCGATTGTTTGTGCCTGAGAAATAAAATTATACATTTGCATAACTAAAAAGAACACGCATAAACATAATCTAAAGTCATGTGGCAATAGTGTGAGACAATTAGAAGCTAGAGCAATTATTGAATCCGCCAAGAAATTGAATGAGTGCCGCTAGTAATAAAAGCCACTGCCGATAAGTTTTTGAATAGCCGGGTCTTTCATTCAAATGTTGGCAAGAAGCCACCCGTTCTCGAGGGTTGTCGAATGGAAATTTCTGGCCGAGTTTGGGAAAAAGGAAAAAGAGACAAGCCTTTATACTCACAAGCTGTTTTCTAAATTGCATTAATTCCGTCTTTGTCTTACGTGCCAGTATTTAAGTCATAGCTGTCGTCGTTCATTTCATTCTCTTTCTTCTCCCTTCTGCAGCTTGTTGATCTTGGTTATTAGTTCGTTTATTAGCATTTTCTTTTCTTCCTTTTAATTTGAAATTGAAATTATTTAGCCTTTACTTTAGAATGCCTCGAGGGAGAAAGGCTGCTCTACAGACGACGAGAATCAAACGGACGCGTCCTCGGCCTGTTCGAACGGTGATCACGAAAGGAAATCTGGTGGAGCTCTTCGATTCGCTCATGGTATATTATTAATTTTCAAGTTTTTAAAAAAAGTATACCGTAATACCGAAAATAAGCACGTCATATGCAATTTTCAATTTTTCTGTAATCTTTAAATTGAGCTCACTGATACGAGATCATAGGAAACGAGGAAATAGAGTAAACCATCGAGCAGCCGACTATTTTAATTGCTACTTTGGTACTAATAAACTTCGGGGGGAGGGGGGCACTTTGACCCGACTTGGTCAGACCCTGGTTCTAGGCGTGTTTTGCATTTTCTGGGGTAATCAAATACGCTTAATCGATTGACGATACTTTTAAAATATTTTGAACAAGTTATCACTTTGTATTTTGTTCCTCTCTTCATTTTTACGCTTAGCAACACTGCAGAGGCAAAACTTCAGCTAGCTTATCAAAATATCAATAAAAATTGTTCAGTACTTTCTAAAAATATTATCAATAGATTCACCATGCTTAATTACCCCAAAAAAATGTAAAATAACGTTGGTAAAACAGTCAAAAAAAATAATCTGATCAAATCGGGTCTAAGTGCCCCCCGAAGTTTATTAATACCGCTACTTTTACTAATTTTAGTAATTCCAGGATGGAGATGAGTCTATCCAGCAGTCGTACAACTTCTCCGTCTGCGTTGACACGCCGTCCCGGAAACAAGCACGTGGGCTTGATGCCATTTTCGAAGAGGAGCTTTCACAAGATGAGGTATTCCATAAATTTTCAGTTTAAATTCTTATTTCACCATTTTTTCAAAATCCTAAATGCTCCGTTCAGATTCTAAACTTCAAAAATACAGTATACCTTTAGACTGGCGATATTTCGAACGCTTCGCAACACTCGGTCAAGAAGAACCAGTATATGACGCAACTGCAAGAGTTAAACGATCAGGTCGGGTTTTTTTAGTAAAACTTTTAGTAAAAGTTTTTTAGTATGACGACGAGTCGGATTTCTCGCTTCTGATCGAGTCAGAAAACGGCATTCGGATGCAAATAATAAATGGGAAATTAAAGCCGCATCCCAGGCAAACAAGTAACAATTTATTGTTAGCAAAAGTATACCTGTTTCAGAAAGCCGTACGCCCGAAAAAGTAGAGCCTTTCAAGCAACTCGATCAGAATCGACCGATGCCACCTCCGAAAGTGAAGAAAAACGAAACCAAACAGGAGATGCAAGCAATACCACCGACACCCATACCCGAAAGTGCCCTCAGAGCGCGTCTCAGACAAAGTTTGGCCTTCCCGGATCGAATGGCGATTACAAAAAGGCAAATCAGAGGTTCGTTAGAAATATTAACTTGTAAATATTTTGACTTTAAGAAACACACGAAGCAAGAATGAGTGCTCGACCTTCGATTGCGCCAAGGATGGGCCCATTTTCCATTCGCGATATCATCGATAAACGACTTCAACTTGCAGACGAATTTGGAAAAGTAAGTAGTTATTTTTTAGTTTTTATATATTTTTATTTTTTTTACTGAGCGAAATTTAGGCTCCGATAACGCCACCACAACGGCAAACTTTGAGTCCTCAGCCTATGCGGCCATCGATGGCATCATTAAAAGAGGATGACTTAAGCAACATTCTGACTGCAAAAAAGACTTGATTTGGTTAGGGTTTGGTTCTTGACTATATTTTAGTTGATTTAGACGCCCTCGACACTCATATCACCAATGATCGTCACTAGGAAGCCGATGCTCTCGCTGAGCTATCTCAACGAATCTTCTTTCAACCCACCACTTGCTTCAACTCCAATCACTGATAGAAAGGTTTGAATTTATCTTTTGTTACTACAATTGTTTTCTTTTTAGAAACCAACAAGTCTGCAATTTGTCGATAGTTTAACGATGAGTACCAAGACTCCTTCAACTGCGTCATCAGCGACTCCTGCATCACCAGCTCCACAAGTTGCCAAACGACGAAGAACGTCAAGTGGCGATGGAAAGTCTGTGCGGATACAAGAGGTATAATTTTGCGCCTTATGTTTTTTTGATAATAGATCTTTCTCACTCTAAAGTAGCACAATACAATTAAGAACTCAATAATTTTGTTAAGAAGACCCCCGAACAGAAAGATGACGACGTTGAAATGGCAGAAGAGGAGGTGAATGAAACGAATGGAACGAGTGTTGAGGACAATTTGGCAAATCTACTTGAGACAAGCGTACATCTGACCGAGGCGACGATTAATACAAATAAAGACAATCATTTGAAAACAGCTGAGGTTGACTGAAATTATACTGTTTGGATTATAGATTTCTTAAAGGAAATTACGTTACCGATTCGAGAGCCTTCACTGGTTGAAGCGGTCAACGACGAGAAAGAACCGATTTCAGATGAGACACAAAGAAAGTCGGAAGATTTCACGATTGGGGTTGCACATGTGCGTATGAGTTTAAAAGTTCCCACCTTTGTGAACAATTAGGCTGGATAAACTAGTGTAGACAATCAAGACTCTAATAATCGGTGAAGAGAAGCTTGAAAAATTGATTGCTTTCCTGATTATTTTATTTCAGACATTCGGTCAAACGCTGAATGCAAACGCAACTGAAGACATCGACAACTTCACATTTGGGCCAGAACCGCCAAAAGTTGCGCAGACTTTGACCGACAATGTCACGCTCGGACAGAACAATTTGAGTCAAATCCTCTTAGGAGTCGGAGACCAATTCTCAATACAGGTTGCGTATACTTTTTCTTCTCTTAATCTCTAGTTTAGACATTGCCTCAAGATGCGACAGGAATTGCGAGCGTTAACGTGACTCAGGTGACTTTATTGCTTACCAAATTTTGTTGAAGTCACGATTTTAGGCAACTGCCACCAGGAAAAATGCAACACAGATGCTCTACGAGTCGCTTTTGGTTAGTAACTATTTAATCATATAACTAAAACTAAAATATCACTTGTTAATTGAAGGCTTTAGGATGATCGACCATTCTTTTTGGCCGATTTCGTCGGTGATGAAAACGACTCGCTGGCTAAATTACTGCATATCATTGAGCAGGCAAAAGTTGACGAATGGAGGGAAGTGCTGCCGAACGAGTAAGTTAAAACAGTTATTTTTGAGAATGCCTCGGTTTAGCACGTTTAACAACATCAAAAAGCTCGGTGAGGGTGTTTACGGAGAAGTGTTTGCAACAACGTGGAATGGAGCTCCAACGGCAATCAAGGTAGCAGTAAATTATCTAGAAATTAATAGAAGCAAACGAGCCCTCTTTTGTTTAGATCATTCCCTTTCGGGCCGATAATGTAATCGATGAAGCAAAAGTAAATGGAGAGTTTCTGAAATTCGCGGCTGACATTATACCTGAGGTAATCGTGAAATTATTCTGGAGTCTGTAAAATAATTTACTGACTGCAGAAGTTCTATTTGATGCTTTTAGGTGTTGATCACAAGAGAACTTTCCGGGTTGTCGAATACCGGCTCATACCAGACGTCCAACTTCATTGAACTTCTACAAGCTCGTGTCGTTAAAGGTCTGCAATCTAGGTATTACATTTTATCTATTGCACATGTTTAGGGAACTATCCCGAAGAGTTTCTTGAGGCATGGGATGTATTTGCTGGACGAAAAGGCGGCTCGGAAAATGACCGGCCTGACACATATTCAACGGATGTAAGCCTTGAAAAAATCTAATTGTTTCTATTTTTTTTGTTCAGGAGCGTCTTTACATCGTGATCGCTTTGTCCATGGGTGGAATAGATATCGAGCACTACACGGTTAGAAACTTTATTGCCACTTGTTGATTCATTGGGATTTCAGCCGAGAAATGAAAACGAGGTGTTCTCGCTTTTGCTTCAAATCAGCTTTGCACTGATGGCCGCCGAACGAGAACTCTGCTTTGAACATCGGTTTGTTTAGTTCATATGCTTTTAGTTTCTGACTTTTAGTGATCTGCACGTTGGCAACGTATTGGTAAAACAAACCGAGGATGAGTATATTGAGTGAGTTTACTTTTGTTGGTTTCATTTTTTTTATTTCAGATACCGAATGAACGGTTTACCTTTGCGAATTCGATCACACGGCGTCAAGGCGAACATTATCGATTTCACAAATTCAAGGTTATCAAAAGGTTGGTTTGATTTCAAGAACATAAACTATGACGTGGTTTGATTTTAGCGGGAGTCAACATCTACTTGGATCTCGAAGAAGACCAAGAGCTGTTCCAAGGACAAGGCCACTACCAATTCGATATCTACAGAATGATGCAAGCACATAATGGGCAAGTTTTGAAAGCTTTTGTAACTCTAATACTAAACTTTACTGACTTGTTTTTATTTTTTAGTGGCAATTGGTGTGACTTCAACCCAAAATCAAACGTTTTCTGGATCCATTATATGTCAAAGGAATTGCTCTCGAGAGTGGCCAAGGTTGGGAATTTTTGATTAAAATGTTGGAAACGCATAGTTTTAGAAGAGAATAACACCGAAACGGAAGAAGCAATTGGAGGCGATATTTGACAAGTTTGTTTTTCTGATCTTGAAGCTAAAAGAATCAAAATGCTGGAATTAAATGAAAGTTTTTATCAAGAAAACAGGCAGTCTTGCATAAACCACTAATAGTGCTGTTTCAGGGTGCTAATGTTTGATGAGTTGAGTGCTTTTGTCTACGATGAGGTGATGAATGATGTGTGCGAAAAATACCTCGTTGAGTAAAGTCGTTACAATTTTTATTGTTCAGGTAAATTCTAGTCTTTTTTGATTAGTTCTGTTTGTAAGATTTATTGTAAACTTTTCTTTTTGCCTGTTTTCCGCTTTGATCTCATTTGGTTTTATCCCGTCTTTCAGTTGTCTCTGTTAGATCTCTTATTGGTATGTGTCACTTAAATACTTAATCTTTTGCTCATTGGTTTCATATCCCTGTCTTTTTATAATGTTTGTCCTATGTTATTTGCAACTCTTTTATATACTCGAGTGATTCAATTAAAACGTTATCGAGGCATCCGTAAAAGCTATTGGGTATCGAGACAAGGGATACTGAAATTTAGGGACGAGTACGGTGGTTTTTGAAGAAAGGCACATTTTAGAAAAAAAACAGACGCACGACCAACTCTACTAATCTGCACGTCTGTAGCGTTAACTTTCATTTACTCCCAGATTGGAATATTGTTCAACAATCCTTTACGATTCTCAGGACGAATCTTTTAAGTCACGAGTCACGCTAATTTCTTTGAAAAGAAATTTTTCGAAATTCATTTTTTCTTGTTCTCTCATGATTTCATGAGACATGCGTTGATTGGTTTTTGGGCTCGCTGCTATTGGTGGTGAACAAATTGAGGATTAATCACATTTTTGGAGGATAAAACCTTTTTTACGTTTTTAGCCCTTTTCTTTTTACCTTGCGTGCCGCTATTTTTAGTGTCTTTGCCCTCATCTTGCACCACTAGAAACATCACTGGCATCACATTTAGATCGTTCAACAAACGGAATTTTTATTTTTTTTTGCAGAGAACACATACGCGAAATCAGTGTAAAACGATATGCAAATTTCTATCGATTTTCGTTCTTTGAAGGCTTTGAAGGCGATCTATTTCTTGCCGAAATTCTTGGTGCATCCGCCGAAATCGGCGAAAATCGAATGGTACTCGCAGAAATATGCACCCGGACAGTCCATATCGGTTTTGCAGAACTGGAAAATGAAAATTTGGTTTTGGTTTTGTGTTTTGATGAATGATTTTGAGCTATTTTTGAGTCAGTTTTAAAATCGTTCATCGTCAGAAATTTCTCCTGAATCAAATTCAGTCAGAAATACCTTTCGATCTGATTTCAGAAATGATTTTGAAATGATTCAGAAATCGGAACTGATTTCTTTTGTATCACATTCGAAGCTGAACATAGATCAAAGTTTTGACACTTAAGAAAGCTATAGAGTTTTGCATAATGATCAAAGTAAGCCAGGTATGGAGCATTCAAAGCTCACTGCTACTCATGAAACTTTAAAAAGTAACTTGTATATGGGTGCAACGTGTGCTTTGTGCTTTTCATCATCTAGACCTTGCCAAGACCAACATTGCCTTTTCAGAACTTCGTACTTTTTAGTACTTAGTAATTTAGTAACAGAAATTAGTAAGTTCAGAACTTTAAAGGGCAGAACTTTAAACCTAGCCATTTATAAGTTTAGAACCTTAAACTTAGCCATTTGTAAGTTCAGAGCTTTAAACCTAGCCATTTATAAGTTTAGAACTTTAAACTTAGCCATTTATAAGTTCAGAGCTTTAAACCTAGCCATTTGTAAGTTTAGAACTTTAGACTTAGCCATTTATAAGTTCAGAACTTTAACCTTAGCCGTTTGTAAGTTCAGAACTTTAAACTTAGCCATTTGTTAGTTCAGAACTTTAAACCTAGCCATTTATAAGTTCAGAACTTTAAACTTAGCCAAACTTAGCCATTTTAGTAAAGTTAGGCGTTCGTTTAGTCGAAAATTTGCAAGTTTTCTCTTAGCTTCTTTTGCAGCTTTCCCCTTTTCCTTCCGCTTTCATGAATCTTCAATCATCCCCCAACAAATCTTTTATTTTAAAGAAAATACCAGAAAATTCAGGCCAACAATTCTAATATTTGTGAAAGTTTAGGCCAGAAACGATAGTTTTTCGAAAGCACAAAGTACACAAACAATTCGTTTCCTTAGTTTCGTTTCGTTTTCTTTCACTAGCTCTTTCACTAGCTCTTAAATATGCAGCAACAAAGTTGGACTCTTTCAAGGGTGTCTAGAAGGAAAGCTTTGACGAAAAATGAAAACTTTCACACAACACAATGACACTCGAACAATTGGGATACCAAGAGGTTCCAAAAAAGACGAGAAAATTTTCGATTCTCAGGTACAAATCTTGGTAATGATTTTTTAGACCTTTTTAGACCTTTTTAGACTTTACTGTAAAGCCCTTTTGTAGTTATAATGTTGCTTTTCTTTTCTTTTCTTTCTTAGCTACAATATAAATCAAAAAACAACCAATAAGCAGCTCTTTTTTTGTCTAAGAACTATGAAATTATTCATTTTGTGTAGGCGAATGTTTTTCTTTGGGAATCAATTTCATAAATGTGAATGGATATCCATTACAAAACTCCAATTAGGAGACGAAAATTTACCAGAAATGTGTTGAAATTTGGATTTAAAGAGAACAATTCCTAGAAGATCTTTAAGAAAGATCTCGAAAGATTAACAAAACTAACGAAAACCTAAGATCAAAGGTAAATTATAATATCAATTGAGTAGTCTGTTTATCTGTTTGTTTGTTTGTTTATCTGTTTGTTTGTTTATCTGTTTGTTTGTTTGTCTGTTTGTCTGTTTGTTTATCTGTTTGTTTGTTTGTTTATCTGTCTGTTTGTTTGTCTGTTTGTTTGTTTGTTTGTCTGTTTGTTTATCTGTTGTCTGTCTGTCTATTTATCTGTCTGTTTGTCTGTTTATCTGTCTGTTTGTTTGTTTGTCTGTTTATCTGTCTGTTGTTTGTTTGTTTATCTTTCTAGAAAACTTCTAACACAATTGAATCTTAAAAGCTTTGAATGCAACGAAAAGTCTGAAAAGTTCTTTAAAGCAAATTCTTTTAGGGAATTAACAGACTATTATTTTGTTTCATAGAAAGAAAAATGAAATCTTTAAATAGAAAACTTTCTAACTTTTGAATTTTAGGCTTTAAAATGATCGTTAAAAACTGAATTTGATCAAATTCGGCTTCGAGATCTCAAGAATGAATCCAAAACTGGTTATAGAGCTGGTTATAAAGTTATAGAGCTGGTAGACTTCAGGTTATAAGGTAGATTACAGGTTATAAAGTAGATTACATGCTATAAAGTAGATTACTGGTTAGTAGACAAAAGCAAATTTGATTTGATTTCCAATCTAGGGCTGAATCAGCTTCAGCTGTCTCTGCTCTCGATAAATGAAAGCTAAAGATTTGAACTGTTTATGTGAACTGGAATAGCTCAAGACTATAAAAATAATTGATTTATAATTGCCTGATCTTCAAGGAACAAGTTTTGTTATCGATTCTTGTTATCAAAAAGATTCGTTGATATTTTCCCCATCCTTTGATTGCCTCTCTTTAAAAGATCTTTCGGAATTCTTCCCAGCTTTACCTGAATGCAGCTTGACTACAAATTCGCTTAGTTATTTACATTTTTCTCCTGTTTTCAGAGCTGGATAATTATCGTTTTTTTGAGAGATTCGATGCCTAATGACCAACTAAAAGAATGGTCAACTTATTTTCTAGCTACAAGACAACTACCAGACTATTCATAGGTAGCTGTTTGGGTGTTGTTTTAAAAGGTAGCTGCTTGGGTTTTGTTTTAAAAGGTAGCTGTTTAGCTGTTGTTTTAGAAGGTAGCTGTTTAGCTGTTGTTTTAAAAGGTAGCTGTACAGGCTGTTGTTTTAGAAGGTAGCTGTTTAGCTGTTGTTTTAAAAGGTAGCTGTACAGGCTGTTGTTTTTAGAAGGTAGCTGTTTAGCTTTCCTTTTAAAATATGGCTTTAGATATTTTTCTAGCTTTTACAGATGGGTTGAGTTCTTGATATCGACATCTATTTTGGGAGAGTTCTTGATATCGACATCGTTTAGCCAAGCTCATTAGCTTGGCTAAAAACTTGGACACTTATTTTCAGTGGGTAAATGAGTGGGGGGAAACAAGATGCTGAAATCGGAAAAGAGAAACCTGGGGGATATAACTGGGTCTTGGGAGTATCAAAGTCTAATCTTATCTTACAATCTTACAAAACCCTACGAAGAAACAAAACCTAATGCCAAAAAAGGGTGCTAAACGCACGCTTTCTAGCGCACTAAAGTTTAACAGTAAAGCATTGAAAAAAGACAAATCGTACAAAGTTGGAGCTCAAGTATAAACCTAGTTTGAATAGAGCTCAAGGACAAGGCTCAAGGCTCAAGGACAAGCTTAGGCATGCACTGAACTGAACTAAACACCATTTTAGATAACTATTATATAAAACTAAAGATAGCTATTAGATAACTATTAGATAGATAGATAGATAGATAGATAGATAGATAACTTTCATAAAAGCTTACAAAGTTCCTCGCATCGATGACAACTAGGAGTACGGTAGCGAGGAGGAGGAGAAGGGACAAGAGACGGGACATCCCTGGAAATGGGAAGGGGAAACTGAATGTGTGGAAGAAAGGCAATGGATTTCCGGTGGAAATGGGATGGGATTGGAAGAAGGAGAAGGAGAAGAAGAAGAAGGGGTGGGCTGAGATGGGAAAGCTTTTTTTGAGGCTGGGAAGTGGGAGGGCCAAAGAAGAGCAGTGGGCAAGCGTCGTCGAAAAAGGGCCCACAGAAGAAAGGTAAATTTTGTGATTTGTAGTGTACTAAAAAGCTTACTTGAAGCTTTTTTAAGTTCAAAAGCTAGAATCGAGATACTGTTTAGGATTTTGGCATATGGGAAGGCTTGTACATTTATTTGGAACAACACTGGGCCCAGTGTTGTTTCAAATAAATGTACAAGCCTTGATATATGCCTTGATACTAAAGTATTAGCTTAATACTAAGTAAAGTAAAGTCCTAAACGTGTAGTCTTTATCATTTACTTTACAAAACCCACTTTTTTGCGATCACTGGGTTTTTGAATTAGATTTTACAAGATCCCACAGTTTTCTTGACAATACCTGATGAAAACTGACTTCACAAGTTGAACAAAGTTGCAGAGAGATGGA